CAGGTCAACGTTCACATCAGAACACATCCCACCAAGACACATCTCAGCAAGACACACCAGGATGGGTTGGTTTGTTCATCAGAATTATGCACACCAGGCTGGTGAATCCACCAGAACACACCAAACACACTTAGGTGGGTTTTTCAACTGGGACCTAATTTTCTATCTCCCCTCGTGCGTTTGCTTTTTCTGGGAATCTAGTCAGTTACCCGTAATGACCAGTGGTTATCCTGCCTACATGCCTGGCCCGGGTCCATTTTAAATGCGAAGCATTTCTTAGTGAACTTCAGCGACTTTGAGCGTATCTATCTATCTATCTATCTATCTATCTATCTATCTATCTATCTATCTATCTATCTATCTATCTATCTATCTATCTATCTATCTATCTATCTATCTATCTATCTATCTATCTATCTATCTATCTATCTATCTATCTATCTAGTCGCTTACGTTTGGGTGCTCTCGTGGTCACCCCCTTAACTTGTCGTGACCTAAAATTAGCATGCGAGGGTAATATGGTTTGACGAATATGACGCACTGGTCAAGACATGAATAATGTCACAGTCCCGTCCCGTACGTCGTCAAAGACATCCCGCCAGACAATGACACATACCCATGGACGGATATGTGCCGCTGGTATGCGGGTATGTGACACAGGTGATTGACAGTTAGTATCTACCCAGGAACGATGAGAACACACGGGTAATTTTAACGCTCGAGCGTTTAGAAATACCCCAGATCGGTAGCGTCGACCCAACGAATGCAAAGAATAAATGTCAGGGCCCAGCTGGAATCGAACCCAAGCATTCCGCGTGGCAATGAAGCATTTTATCATAGAGCTATGCCAGGTCTCGAAACTACTTTTCAAAAAGACGCTAATCTTCGTGAAACGTCAATAGTAGTTGTAGTGCTGCCTACCCAGTTTTACAAACATTACATACGTACTCCTTTAATACAGCCGTCACGTCGTGTTAACGTCAATTGTGGTTAGTTGCCATGCGCTGAAGTTGATTTATGTAGCAGTGTCCGGGGCCAGCATCCTCGCAAGCATCAGTGCTTAGTATCGGCTTCAGGTGTTGCTAATACGCATGTTCCTGTTGGCATCGTTGCGCAAGTGCAAACAACTGGTTATATAAACATCTGCCACTATTCAACATATGTCTGTGCATGCAACATTTGCACATATATTTAGCGTCATTTCCTCACGTGTTGCTCATGAAAAAATTGCGAAACGGTCACGTTCCCTCCGCGTGCTTCGCATAACGTCGATTCTCAGGTACGTGGGATCTGCCGAAGTTGTTTTTCTCCCCAAAACAAAGTTTAGTTACGAGTCTGTGCCTGTCATCTGCTCCTCTTTCTTCGTTCTCATTCCATGTGCATGAATTTAAAGAAAGAAGATGCAATCAATTCAGCAGTGACGTCATCATAATGGATTGCACAATAACGTATTACTACCTACTACTTCATAAACACAGAATTCCTGGAATGTTATTAACATTGTCACTTAACTGCACTTTTCATTCACTGCTCCAGAAAAAGCTGAAAGGAAGCTGGACCATCGTTTCATCAGAGGAGTCAGCACAACGGATCACACTGCTTGGCTTGATTACCACATCTTAAAGGATGGATTCCTGGTAGGTGCTTACAGCTGTGATTTAACTGCACTGGGCACGGAGCAAGAGTATTTGAGGAGGAGAAACTTCCAGGCCGCGCCAGCGGCTGAGGGCGACGCAATAGCGTCACGAAGAAATGTGGCTTACGCCGAAGCGCACCAGATGACTCTTTCGGCGTGTTGCCATCTTCAACATGCGCTTCTATGCGCTTCAATATGCGCTTGCCTTTGTCTTTTTTCCCGTCCGTGTTTTCTACCGCGTAGTACTCTTAGATGATGTATCACCAACTGGCCCAATCGTCCACCTTGATTAGCTTCTATTGAGACTACGCATGAAAATCGCGATGTCTCCTCGCACATTGTAAAATGCGGATTCTGTCTGTAACATCAATCGGTAGACGTGACAGATATTTTGGTTGCCGTTAGTAATTGATAATGCGAAAATTAGAGGTTGTACAGAACTTGAAACGAGCTGCTAAATGGTGCCTGAGCAGACGACGTCGGCGCCTGCACACGGACGCGCCTCTCGCTCCTCGCTCGCAGGTTGTGTGCGCGCATGCGTAGGCGGCTTTGAGAGGGAAAGTTCCCAGCAAGCGGCCGGTACCCTTTCGCGATCTTGTCGGCCGCACCGACTTCAATGTCCTCGCCCTTTTCACGCCGCGAAGAAGGTGAGGGTTTTGAACATTTCGACCAGTGGTTTTTCGGGATGCGGCGGAAGTGTGTTGTGCCGAACTGTAAGAGTGGGTAGGCATATGTTGCAAAGACAAGGTAATTGCCCTTGATACTTCCAGTGGCCCAGTGAGGTTAGAGGCGTTGGCTTGCGCCATAGTAAAGAAATACCGACAGCGGTCAGGAGCATATAAGGTGGTGCTATTGGGGTTAGCTTGGGGGCGGCGCAGTTCTGGACAAACCGAAGCGGCCAGTGTTTTTACCTGACTCCGTGCCTTCACTCTTTCCGCGCTTTCTCGACAACTTGTCAGCTCTTCACACGCGTATGGACGTATAGATAGATACACACGCACAGATAGATACGCACGCACACATATACCCACACACAAGAAGAAAACAGTACTGCACCTGACATGAAGTGTGGAAAGCATGCAAGGACAGATGATTTGGTGGCTCAAAGTAAACAGCTAACTCATGTTATTTCCATCTTGATTTTGCGGTCAGGAATAGCGTAACTTTTTTTACAATAACCACCGAAAACGCCAATTGATTGATTGATTGATTGATTAATTGATTGATTATTATGTGGGGGTTTAACGTCCCAAAACCACCCATGAATATGAGAGACACCGTAGTGGAGGGCTCCGGAAACATCAAACACCTGGGGTTCTTTCATGCGCACCCAAATCTGAGCACGCGGGGGTCTACAGCATTTTAGCCTTCATCGCAAATGCAGCCGCCGTAGCCGCAATTCGATACCGTGACCTGCGGGTCAGGAGCCGAGTACCTTAGCCACTAAAGCACCGCGGCGAGGTCAAAGACGCCGATGCTGGCATTTCTGCGAATATAGCTTTTGAACAATGTCGCATAAAACTTTAAGCCGGTGAGTTCACACCAGCACACATCCACTTGGGCGCGAGCGGAGATTCGGCGTGGAGTGGCCTTGAACGGTGGTGGTAGTGATTAGAAAGAAGAGGAAAAAGGCGCCGTGTCTGCCTTCAGGCGACACGGCGCAGTGCCTTATAGGGGTGGGGGGAAGGAGGGATAAAAAGAATAGAAGGAAAATAGACGGAGAAGAAGACAGCCAAGCGAGAGAAAAAAGAAGGAGATAGGAAAGTGGGGATCCGGTCGAAGCAGTCCAAGGGCGGGGCGCCACAATGCGAGAGCTGCACGGCGTCAGGAGACCGCGGAGGGCGAACCAGTCGGCGGGAGCTACGCTGATGCCGGAGATCGCGAGGGCACAACCGTCCAGCTTGAAATCTTGCGACCGAATCCTTGAACGAGATCGCGGTGAGAGCGGCGCGCGTTTTTCCTTCCCCGCTAGTGGAGTTTCACGACAGAGGGCGCGTCAGTGCTGTTTTCAGGACTCCCGAACGAGCGCAGTTTCGCCTCCTCAAATATTCTTGCTCCGTGGCACTGAGCTTAAAGGTCTCGCTCTGCACTCCCTTACTCTTGGAATGCCAACCTAAAGCTGTTTGTTGCACATGTCAGCATTGTTTTCTACTTGACATCAGAACTGGCTGACTATATATATGATCCGTGCGCACCATGCTGCAGCTTTATGCAGCCCTCTTTCTCGGACTTCTCCGGTGCAGCCTTCCTGCTCTGTCCAACACGTGCAAGACTAACATCCGTGCACTACAGTGCGTACAAGTCCAAGCACTTTGGACATGTCTTGGCATTTCAAGATCAACCAAATCGGCTTTCGTTCGTCCCTCTCCACGCAAGATTTTATGCTGATGTTCAACTATGAGCTCATGGATAAGGTCACCAGAGACACTAGAGCCATTCTAGCGCTCGACCTCGAGAAGGCATTCGACCGCGTCAAGCACTCTCATATCCTCGACCCGATTCGCGAAGCAGGATTGGGTACGCGTTTCTACAACTATGTTAGATCGTTCTTGCGCGACAGGAAGGCTACAATCAAACTCGGCTCGATGGGCTCGAAGAAACTCAACCTGGGACCGAGGGGCACACCCCAAGGGGCCGTGATCTCTCCGTTCCTGTTCAACCTCTCCATGCGCGCTCTGTCGCAACAACTCTCACAGATCGACGGCATCAGTCACGCCTTCTACGCAGACGACATCACCGTCTGGTGTACTAGCGGCAGTGACGGCCATATCGAGGAGCGACTGCAAGACGCGGTAAACACGATACAAATATTCTTACGGCAGGCCGGTCTTTCGCTATCAGCAGAGAAGTCAGAATTACTTCTATACCGCCCGAAACACAAGGCGCGCAGAGACGCATACGTGGGGATCAATGTCCTGACGGCGGATGGTACACCCATCTCCACGGTGGACCAAGTTCGCATACTAGGCATGGTAATTCAGGCCAACGGCCATAATGACGTCAGTATTTCTCATATTTCTAGGAAGGCCGAAGCAATGGCCAAATTAATTAACAGAGTAGCTAACAGGCGTTGTGGACTATCTGAGGAGAATCTCCGCAGACTGTTTTACGCTTTCCTCATGAGCCACATCAACTATGTGGCTCCCGCCCACCTGTGGCAAAAAGGAGACATACGCCGTCTCAAAGTAATCATCCGCCGGTCCGTTAAACAGGTGCTCGGGTTACCTGGCAGCACCCGTACGGTCAAGCTCAATGAGCTAGGCATTCAAACACATTCAACGAAATCGTAGAAGCTCAAAAAGTATCTCAAGTTCTAAGGCTGTCTGCCACTGCATTTGGGCGACATTACTAGCCCACCTCGGGCTCAAATCTCCCGTATCCCAAGAATGTCCGCAGCAGCTCCCCGAAGACCTGCGCGCAAAATTAACAGTGTCCCCGATACCACGTAACATGCATCCCACACATAACGCCGGGAAACGTCAGGCACGGGCGCGAGCCCTACTCAGTACCGCAGCCGCTATGGAGGATAACGTGGCCTTCGTAGACGCAGCGAAGTACAGCTCTACGGACCACGTTGTCTCGGTGGCTACAACACTCAAAGGCGAACACTTGCCGTCTGTGACTTTATTAAATTCGAACGCTGATCGCGCCGAGCAGGTCACTGTGGCACTAGCTCTCGCTGCCACCGATCGCACCGCCATTTACACGGATTCGCGCGCAGCCGTACGGGCCTTCATTTCGGGCTCAGTTTGTCGGGATGCCGCGCGCGTTCTCTCTGCTGCCAATTTGTCAGGCAAAAAGCACATAATCTGGTTCCCAGCACACGCTGGCCGACACGTACACGGAACCATCCTTAATGCCAACGAGTTGGCTCACTCCCGGGCGCGAGGTCTCACGTTCCACGCCGGGGAGAACCTCTCGAAGGCTGAGGCCATCACTTGTTTCTTCAGAGACCCGTTGCTGACTTTTAATGAAATTTGCGAACACTACCAGTTGGAGCGGCGGAAGTACCCACTCCCGCACCGACACTTAACAAGACCTCAGTCCATAACTCTACGACTCTTACAGACGGAGGCGTATGCATCGTCTCTAACTTGCTCTAAATACATAGATGGCATAGATCCGGGGTACCCACGCTGTGGTCATCCCAAATGTACTCTCCCACACATGCTGTGGCAATGCCCTGCGTTGCGCGAGAGCAGCGAGTCTCCCTCTACGCAGGCGGACTGGACCTGTCTCCTCACAAGCCATGACAAAGGAGACCAGCTTAGGGCCTTCAGAGGACCCACGACATAGCCGTGGAGTTTAACCTCCCCGTCTCGTCGTGGGAGTGGCCCACCGGTGTTGCCCCCTAAGGGGGATTGAGCGCCGCCTCCGGATATCAATAAAGTTCTTTGCCTGCCTGCCTTTCAAGAGGCTCTTCGACAGTGGGAACTATTGTTTTCGCACAAAAACAGCCGGTCACAAGGCATATCATTGCCGAGTACGCTGAGAGTGCAGATTCGGCATTTATCACTGCTTCCTTCATATCATTTAGCGTGTTTGACAGCACGGAGGCCCCATTTTTCGTTCTGCAGTATTGTGACGAAACATCAAGTCATATTACCACCTGGCTTCAAACTTGCGACGCGTCCAGCAGCTGCGTTATGGAGTCTCCGTCAACCTGACGTGCGCTTACCGGTTCCTGGAATCGTTAAGAAGGCATGCATTTCCCTCTAGCTCTGAAGCAATTGACATTGCGTCTGCTAGACGAAAGGTACTTTGACCGCATACATGTTTACACCAATTGCTCCGCTAATTCCAACAGCTATACCAATGCCTCCTAGAAAAATTATGCCTGGAACGTGAGCCACAAACGCACTCCCTACCCTCGGATTTTTCCCTCCCCCTCCGGTACGGAGGTAAACGCCTTTGGCGGCCACCCCTTGCGAATGCAAGCAATGCTCTCACAGTTGCCTCCGAGCAGCTCTGATGTCAACTGACTGAGCGGTACGGAGGCAAGCGGTACGGAGGCAAGCGGTACGGAGGCGAGTGGTCCCACGCGGTGGACGGTCGCAACACGCGGCAGAAGGCATGGCCTCCGAGATTTCGTGCTGGCAGAAAGCTCCCAATTGGAAAGAGAGCAACTTTCCAGGCATAGTTTTTCTAGGAGGCGTTGGCTATACATAGAAGACAGTGCTGCTTGCGATCATTGCGGCAGCGATGAAACGATAGAGCACGTTCTCTGTTACTGCCCTCGTTACAGCGATCAAAGATGGCAGCAAGCTGCTGCGTTAGCTCGTCTTGACGTGATACCCTTGTCAGAACAGTCAGTGCTTGAAAAGCGACAATCGGTCTCCCCACAGAAAATCAGTGAAGCCCTATTGAACTTTTTGCGTAGGTAGTGGCCTATTGAATAGGCTGTAGCACCCAGCTCATATTTTTGTTCTCTCGTTCGCGCGTCTACTTCGCTCTTCGCTTTCTTTCCCATCTTTATTGCCCATTCTCTCTTCCCTTAGTGCAGGGTAGCAAACTGGATGCCCCAATTTCCGGTTAACATCCCTGCCTTCCCCTCATGTTATTCTCTCTCTATATATACAGGAGCAGTGGCTGTTCCTTCTGGTAAGCTTCAATACAAGTTTTCTCATACCACGACGTCGACAGCAGCAGAACTCGCAGCGCTTCAAGGTGCAAACAAGTACTTTCTTCAGCAGCAACTTAATCTATGGGCCATCTTTTGCGACTCCAGGTCAGCCTTACAGGCACTACGGTTCGTTATGCAGCACGGGTTACACAAACAATCAGTATATCAGATAAGGCACGACTACCACGAAGCTTTCGTCGTAGATCACGATATTGTGTTTCAATGGTTGCTGAGTCATCGTGGAACTGTCGGCAATGACCACGCGGATGAAGCTGCTCGATCGGCTCATGGCCAAGACCTGCTACGCCCATACTACTCTTCAGAACAGGCGCTTCAAGGCGAGTATACAATCACTTGCTCGCCGTATAACTCTCCTACAGTAGAATACGTCGGGTTTCTCCAACGCGCGCCTGTATTCGATCGACCCAAACTTGCAACTTCGTTTGCCATCCGGCCTCCCACGATGCGCTGAAACATTGCTGTGTCGCATGAGCTTGGGCGTCGCATTTACGAATGCATATTCTCGTCTCCTTGGACGCGGCGAGCAATTCGGCATGCAACATCTGCACTTGTGAGGAGACGCTTGAGCATATTGTATGCCACTGCCCAGCATACCAGTCTCAACGACGTATTATTGAAGTCAAGCTCTGTCATCTGGATTCACGGCCGCTTAGAGAAAGAAGATCTTGGGACCTTGGCCGACGGTTTCGCATACGCACAAAGCCACGAAAGCCCTCTTGTACTTCTTAAGGACCACCAGACTTCACGAGCGTTTGTGAAAGAACAGTGAGAGAGAGAGAGAGAGAGAGAGAGAGAGAAAGGAAAGGCCGGGAGGTCAACCAGATATTGGCATCTGGTTTGCTACCCAGCGCTGGGGGCGGGGAAATAGGGGCAAGAAAGAGGGGGTAGATTGAGAGGAAGAAAAAAATGCACGCGCATTCATGTGAAAACGAAAACACACACATGAAGGGTTTCCTAGCTACAACCATTCAGTAAGGCCGGTCGATCGCAAAAAGTGTATTAGCGCTTTCAGGGCCTTCTTCTGTGAAGTTGCATCTTGTCGATATTGTAAATTCCTTGCTCTGAGAGAGGTTGATTATCTAATTTGCTGAGTTCCTTGCGAAGGCATAGTCGTTGTTTACTATACTCTAGGCAGTCACAAAGAATATGTTGGATCGTTTCTTCTTTGCCACAGTGGCCACAAGCTGTGCTGTCGGCCATCCCTATGCAGAAAGCGTAGGCGTTGGTAAGCGCAACGCCCAACCACAGCCTACATAACAGGGTCTGGTCTGCTCGGCAAAGCCTTGACGGGACTTGAAGACTTAGCGTAGGGTCAAGCGAGTACAGTCGGGCATGCTTGAAGTGTCGCTGATTCCATTATGATGTGGTTTGCTGGAGAGTAAGCCTGCGGAGCTTTCGTGCAGCATCTGTCCTAGAAAGCGGTAGTCGTAGTATATGATCTTCTGTGTAGGTTGAGCGGGCAGCTTGATCGGCCCGTTCATTGCCGATGATTCCGCAGTGACTGGTAACCACTGAATTGTAATTTGGTGCCCTTTCTCAGTCAGGTGGTGTATAACCTCTGCTATCTCTAGTACCAGCTGCTCGTGTAGTCCACGGCGTAAGGCTGATAGTAGAGACTGCAGTTCCGCCTTCGGGTCGCAGGAAATAGTCCACTTGCGTGTAGGTTGATCAACTACAAATTACAACGCGGCACGAAGTGCTGCCAATTCTGCTGCCGTTGATGTTGTTGCGTGAGATGTCTTGAATTTAGTTGTCGTGGCCAACCTTGGTATCACTACTGCTCCTGTAGAGCTGTCTGGCTGAACCGATCCGTCAGTGTATATATCTGTGGAGTCTAGGTATTTCTCCTACAAAAGAAGTAGTGTGAGGTGTTTAAGAGCCAGTGACGACAAATTGGCGTTTTTCTGGACGCCAGGTATGTCAATATTAATCATTGGTTGAGCGAGGCACTATGGCGGAGTCGCAGGTCTAGCGGCAGAAAAGAACGAAGTTGGGATTGACTCACCACGTGTGGTCACTGTTTTGCAGTAAGATGTGCATGGTCGGTTCACTGGTAGAGAGGCTAGGTGATGTCGAGGAGTTTAAGCAAGGTGTCGTATATGTGTCCTCAGCACTTCAACATTAATGTGGGTCTTGTTGAGGTGGTTCCTTGTGATACCGTGCTGTGTAATCTCAAGCTGACTATTCATCCTTCTCTTTCTTCCTCCTCTTCTTTTATATCTCTTTGATTTCTATTATTCTTCCTTCCTCCCACCACAAGTGTAGGGTAGCCAACCGAGCAAAGTTTGGTTAATCTCCCTGCTTTCCCTCTCTATCTCTCTCTCCCAAGAAAAATTTATTATCCTTAACAGAAGCTCTAAGTAGAACTGAACGCACACTCCACTTTGTTAGTTTGTTTGTTCGTTCGTTCGTTTGTTTGTGGTCTGTCAACTCGGGCACATACCCACTCGGGAGGATTGGCTCACTGATTTCGCGTATAATTTGTCTTCACTTATTTCAGAGCAAGGCTGCTTAAAAAAAAGTAACTTCAAGTAGGTGGGGCAAATAGTATTACCTACCGGCTTTTGACTACTCATTCGAAAGGACTCTGTGCCACAGAATCAACCATGCAATGGCTGCCTCACTAAGCAACTCGCATGGACTCCTTTCCTGAGTCAGCGACACAAGGCGGAAGTTGTGGCGCACTAATAATGTCCCACCCCCTCTGCAGTCTTCAATGCCGTACGCACCAGGTCTTCTTTTTTTGAGCATTCTAACTTTACAGCGG